ATTGCAATCGCCGTCTCCTGGGGGACGTAATCACGAACTTGTCTAAGGCCAGCCAGGCCTGATGAAACTTTTTTAAAGATAGAAAGAAAGAAAGATAGAAAGAAAGAAAGATAGAAAGAAAGAAAGAAAAAACAACACTTGAAAGAATTTAGACAAAGGAAGAAAAAAAGAAACTTAAGTAAATTTAATAACGATCGTGCGTTGACATTCAGTAATTTACGCTTGATCTGTCATTAAATGTTGTTGAAATGATGACAGGATTTCATTTCATACTAGATCGTGCGTAAATCCTTAATGTAAATTCACGAAATTCATGGATATGGCCAATTATGACGTCACAAGATGGAGTAACCTAACCACCACCATGGATAATTTAACGCCATTATGCTATGATATATCCGATAGAACAAAGACATTCTCTTAATTGATTCTGTATTATCATACCCTGGTAATTCTACCCAAATCCTGCTTTGCGTGATACCATCGAACGAATAACCTCCCTACACCTGTCGCAAGCTTTTTAGAAGCTAAAGCTAAAGAAAGGCGAGGAACGCTGCTATAGCATAGTAAGACAGAATAAAAAGACCTAGGTGCATTTGGAGGACAATTTAAAAAGTACATAGTTAAGAGGTAAGTTAAAATGCAAGTAGAAAAAATGACCAGGGGAGGTAAGGAATGGCATTAACGAGGTGATCAAAAAATGAAGTTATTGTAGGAGAGTATAATATTATAATAGCTTTAACATTTATAACGCGCATATTCCATATGCTCACATATATAAGTTTAGTCTCAATATACTATATTATGACTATTATGATTGTATAATAGAAGAAGTTGGTGATATAGAAGGAGGGGAAAAGAATGTTATGGCCATAAACTTACGTGTTGGATGCGATTTACAATAATAGATACACTTTGTGTACATTTTTGCGGTATCTTCAAACATTTGGACAAAAAATGACACAGAATGGGGGGGAAATACCAAGGATGACGGAAAAAGCTACATCGTGCTCTTGATAACAAAGAACAACAAGAACAACAAATATTTAACCGATAGTCCTCTAAATGTAGCCTTGGATCTATCTTAACTTCCAGGCGAGATGTTTACTTGTAAATCCGAGCAACATCCTTGGTTGATATAATCCATCCTTTTGTGACAGTGAGTTCCTGCCCAAACCTTCACCTTGTTGGCTAGTTCGATAATCCTTATTAATCTATATTCACATGAACAAGTGCATTCCTGCTCAAGTCTTCACCTTTTTGGCTAGCTCGATAATCCTTATTAATCTATATTCACATGAACAAGTGCATTTAGCTCTTAATCCGATCCTACAAGAGCTTACAAATTCGACTGGCAAGATAGACGGCAGAATATACTGGAGTCACTATTATATTGAAGTTTTATTTTTAACCTGAACCTCTTCCTAATTTACGAGTGGCGGACAAGAGATCGAGGAATGGCTATATTCGAATATAATATCATTATTACTGCAGTTTTCGTACAATCAACGAGTTGGGATATCAGTGCTATTTCCATTACTGACCTCGCCGCCAACTTACGAATAATCCGTTCAGGATCTTGTAAACCCATTACGGTTTTATCACGTAGACTAAAACTAAGCTCACAAATAGAAATTTTTCAGGAAAAAAACTGGTATTTCTCTCGATAGATCTTGAAGCTTACAGGAATTGCCCTTAGAAATAAATCCGTCTTTGTTAAATTTGTACAGAGTGAAAWAAAATCAATTATCATAAAGAAATTCAGTATTCGAAAAACAGGAAGTTAGGCAGACATCAGAAAATGAAATTTTGTATGCTACGACAAATACTGAAGCGATACACATTAAAATGAATAAATATTCATATAATATAAAAGCAATGTATGTTATTAATTTACAACTTAGCTTAGGGCAACCCGCAAAGTTGTATACAGGTTCAAGGAATTCAATAACATGTCAATAATAATAATAATGATAATAATAATAAT